TTGCATATTGAGCATTGAGTATGCCTTGGCATCGTGTTACGATCATTCGTCTCGCGTGACATATGCATTGTATTGCATTGTACCTTTTAAGTTTCTTTCTCATACATGCACGATATTATATGTACGGTTCATTCAGAGGAATTCCGGGTAACACCATTCCTCTCCCTTACCCCATTGTTTAGAAACACCCGGGTGCGCCCGGTGTTTACACTAACACCCTGCTAGAAGCGTTTGGACTGTGTGCCCGACGCTTATACCTCTTTGCTTTGGTTAGAAACATTGGAATGTCTTTTGATGTTCATACCACTCTTAAGTGTTGCCCTTCCCTCTCTCGCATGTGATACGTTGAGAGGTGTTTTCTTTCCCTTTCTCGCGTGTGATACACTCAGAGGTGTTTTTCTTTCCCTCTCTCACGTGTGATACGTTGAGAGGTGTTGCCTTTCCCTCTCTCGCGTGTGATACGCTGAGAGGTGTTTTCCTTCCCTCTCTCACGTGTAATACGCTGAGAGGTTTTTTTCTTTACCTCTCTCGCGTGTGATACGCTAAGAGGTGTTTTCCTTCTCTCTCTCGCGTGTGATACGCTGAGAGGTGTTGCCCTTCCCTCTCTCGCATGTGATACGCTGAGAGGTGTTTTCCTTCCCTCTCTTGCGTGTGATACGCTGAGAGGTGTTGCCCTTCCCTCTCTCGCGTGTGATACGCTGAGAGGTGTTTCCTTTCTCTCTCTCGCGTGTGATACGCTGAGAGGTGTTTTCCTTCTCTCTCTTGTGTGTGATATGCTGAGAGGTGTTGCCTTTCACTCTCTCACGTGTGATACACTGAGAGGTGTTTACCTTCCCTGTCTCGCGTGTGATACGCTGAGAGGTGTTTTCATTTCCCTCTCTCGTGTGTGATACGCTGAGAGGTGTTTATCTTCCCTCACTACTTAAAAAAGTCACTTTTTGCGACCGCTATAAACCGTCGCAAATAATAAAAAAACAGTCGTAAAAGACCTTTTGCGACGGCCCATGCGACGGCAAATGCGGGTCGCGAATGTGGGGGTGGCAAATACTTTTTGCGATGACAAAGCAACGGTCGCAAATTATTCGCGACCGCCTAAACTACTTATGGCGACCACTATTTTTCCGTCACAAAAAACAAAGAAAAACACTAACATGATTTTTGGCGACCATCTTGTTACCGTCGCAAAAAAAAAAAGAAAAAAAAAAGAAAAAAAGAAAAAGTGTAACGTTAACACTCTAAGAGTAGTAATGACAAGAATTTAGACGAGTATAGCATTGTAGTTTAATTAGACATTCCATTTGAGTCTCAAAATTGGAGTCATATGTGAGTTATTACAACTAAAAACTTGGGAAAAGTTCTTTTATGAAAAAAAATACAATCCATTGGAAAACAGGTGCGTCTTGAAGAGGACACCTGGATTGCCTCCAGTCTCAACCTGAAAGTAAGGCAAGATGTTAAAGCATGCCATTAGATAAAGCATCAGAATTTAAATCTACAAACTCAACTCATGGAGAAAAAAGTATGCACTTCTAAAGATACCACAAAAATTGGCTTTAAAAGGTCATTAATCTTTTAACAGCAGAAATAAACTTAAGGCAACAGTATAGTCTCTAAATATGGTGAAGAACTTATCTCCTGTTTGAATTTCCAACTGAAATTGAATGGGGCCATTCCTTTCTCACAAAAGAATTTAACTTAAAACTCATCACCTTGAACTGTTATTTCCATAAAGCCTATAAATGACCATATATGAAAAAAATTATAAAATAGAACTCTACTTGAGATTACTCTGTAACACAGTTGACATATAAAAATACAGCAGGATTTAGATAGGAAAAAGAAGGAAACATGAAGTTATACCTGAGAGTTGATCTTTGAGAGATATTATGCCATGTCCTTCTTTGAGATTTAATTGCACCTGTTTGACACATAGTTCTAGGAAAATGAATAACACAAACTGGTGGAAAAGGAATAAAGCATCAGACTCACTTAAGAAGAAAACAAACTCCACATCTACTTATTCATTTTCACAATCATATACAAGAAACTAAAACTTGAATTAAACCATCCATCACACAGATGTGTGAATACTGTTTTCATTCCTTTCACATATGTGCATCATTGGTTTTTTTATATATATATATATTTTTTAATATTTTTTTAAAAAAAAAAATATACGCATCATTATCTTGACCAATTGGAAACTACAGAGTTGGTTACAAAAACACTTCAATGGTAGGTTACTTCCTTTTCATGACCTTTTTTGGTACAAGTCAGAGATGTCACCCAGGCAAAAACAGTTCAATAGTTGAGACTTTGAACTACGAAGCAGAGTTACCATTTAAACCCAATTAGTAGACTAATAAAGTTCATTCTTCAAGCATGGACTTTAGCAATAAAGTTTACCTCGAAACATATGGAGAAGATGCTCCATCAATAGTGCAAGGTAGCGAGGGACTTGCCCGCACACGTAAAGCCTCATCCATAATGCAAGGGGCCTTAAAGGTCTTCCTCTTCCGTTTCATCCTAAAATGAAAGAAATATGAAAAGGTTAATACACAAGAAATATGGATATCAATTTACTAATAATATAACACAAGATATAAATATCAACAAATGATACAAATTAGTTTCAGAACAAATAAAACTTTAGCAGTAAAGTTTACCTCGAAACATATGGAGAAGATGCTCCATCAATAGTGCAAGGTAGCGAGGGACTTGCCCGCACACGTAAAGCCTCATCCATAATGCAAGGGGCCTTAAAGGTCTTCCTCTTCCGTTTCATCCTAAAATGAAAGAAATATGAAAAGATTAATACACAAGAATTATGGATATCAATTTACTAATAATATAACACAAGATATAAATATAAACAAATGATACAAATCAGTTTCAGAACAAATAAAACTTTAGCAGTAAAGTTTACCTCGAAACATATGGAGAAGATGCTCCATTAATAGCGCAAGGTAGTGAGGGACTTGCCCGCACACGTAAAGCCTCATCCATAATACAAGGGGCCTTAAAGGTCTTCCCCTTTTGCATCATCCTAAAATGAAAGAAATATGAAAAGATTAATACACAAGAATTATGGATATCAATTTACTAATAATATAACACAAGATATAAATATAAACAAATGATACAAATCAGTTTCAGAACAAATAGAACTTTAGCAGTAAAGTTTACTTCGAAACATATGGAGAAGATGCTCCATTAATAGAGCCTCATCCATAATGCAAGGGGCCTTAAAGGTCTTCCTCTTCCGTTTCATCCTAAAATGAAAGAAATATGAAAAGGTTAATACACAAGAAATATGGATATCAATTTACTAATAATATAACACAAGATATAAATATAAACAAATGATACAAATCAGTTTCAGAACAAATAGAACTTTAGCAGTAAAGTTTACTTCGAAACATATGGAGAAGATGCTCCATTAATAGAGCCTCATCCATAATGCAAGGGGCCTTAAAGGTCTTCCTCTTCCGTTTCATCCTAAAATGAAAGAAATATGAAAAGGTTAATACACAAGAAATATGGATATCAATTTACTAATAATATAACACAAGATATAAATATAAACAAATGATACAAATCAGTTTCAGAACAAATAGAACTTTAGCAGTAAAGTTTACTTCGAAACATATGGAGAAGATGCTCCATTAATAGAGCCTCATCCATAATGCAAGGGGCCTTAAAGGTCTTCCTCTTCCGTTTCATCCTAAAATGAAAGAAATATGAAAAGGTTAATACACAAGAAATATGGATATCAATTTACTAATAATATAACACAAGATATAAATATAAACAAATGATACAAATCAGTTTCAGAACAAATAGAACTTTAGCAGTAAAGTTTACTTCGAAACATATGGAGAAGATGCTCCATTAATAGAGCCTCATCCATAATGCAAGGGGCCTTAAAGGTCTTCCTCTTCCGTTTCATCCTAAAATGAAAGAAATATGAAAAGGTTAATACACAAGAAATATGGATATCAATTTACTAATAATATAACACAAGATATAAATATAAACAAATGATACAAATCAGTTTCAGAACAAATAGAACTTTAGCAGTAAAGTTTACTTCGAAACATATGGAGAAGATGCTCCATTAATAGAGCCTCATCCATAATGCAAGGGGCCTTAAAGGTCTTCCTCTTCCGTTTCATCCTAAAATGAAAGAAATATGAAAAGGTTAATACACAAGAAATATGGATATCAATTTACTAATAATATAACACAAGATATAAATATAAACAAATGATACAAATCAGTTTCAGAACAAATAGAACTTTAGCAGTAAAGTTTACTTCGAAACATATGGAGAAGATGCTCCATTAATAGAGCCTCATCCATAATGCAAGGGGCCTTAAAGGTCTTCCTCTTCCGTTTCATCCTAAAATGAAAGAAATATGAAAAGGTTAATACACAAGAAATATGGATATCAATTTACTAATAATATAACACAAGATATAAATATAAACAAATGATACAAATCAGTTTCAGAACAAATAGAACTTTAGCAGTAAAGTTTACTTCGAAACATATGGAGAAGATGCTCCATTAATAGAGCCTCATCCATAATGCAAGGGGCCTTAAAGGTCTTCCTCTTCCGTTTCATCCTAAAATGAAAGAAATATGAAAAGGTTAATACACAAGAAATATGGATATCAATTTACTAATAATATAACACAAGATATAAATATAAACAAATGATACAAATCAGTTTCAGAACAAATAGAACTTTAGCAGTAAAGTTTACTTCGAAACATATGGAGAAGATGCTCCATTAATAGAGCCTCATCCATAATGCAAGGGGCCTTAAAGGTCTTCCTCTTCCGTTTCATCCTAAAATGAAAGAAATATGAAAAGGTTAATACACAAGAAATATGGATATCAATTTACTAATAATATAACACAAGATATAAATATAAACAAATGATACAAATCAGTTTCAGAACAAATAGAACTTTAGCAGTAAAGTTTACTTCGAAACATATGGAGAAGATGCTCCATCAATAGTGCAAGGTAGCGAGGGACTTGCCCGCACACGTAAAGCCTCATCCATAATGCAAGGGGCCTTAAAGGTCTTCCTCTTCCGTTTCATCCTAAAATGAAAGAAATATGAAAAGGTTAATACACAAGAAATATGGATATCAATTTACTAATAATATAACACAAGATATAAATATCAACAAATGATACAAATTAGTTTCAGAACAAATAAAACTTTAGCAATAAAGTTTACCTCGAAACATATGGAGAAGATGCTCCATCAATAGTGCAAGGTAGCGAGGGACTTGCCCGCACACGTAAAGCCTCATCCATAATGCAAGGGGCCTTAAAGGTCTTCCTCTTCCGTTTCATCCTAAAATGAAAGAAATATGAAAAGGTTAATACACAAGAAATATGGATATCAATTTACTAATAATATAACACAAGATATAAATATCAACAAATGATACAAATTAGTTTCAGAACAAATAAAACTTTAGCAATAAAGTTTACCTCGAAACATATGGAGAAGATGCTCAATCAATAGTGCAAGGTAGCGAGGGACTTGCCCGCACACGTAAAGCCTCATCCATAATGCAAGGGGCCTTAAAGGTCTTAACCTTCCACTTCATCCTAAAATGAAAGAAATATGAAAAGGTTAATGCACAAGAAATATGGATAGCAATTTACTTATAATATAACATAAGATACCTATTAGCATCCTCGATTGTCTTCCCAACAATTCTTCCTTTTGGCGATACTGATAACTGTCAAGAGTGCATGTCAAATTCAAAACCAATTTAATACATGAAAAATAGCATCAACTAACAAGATAAAGTCATAAAAAAAAAAACTCCTACGAATACTGACTAGAGAGGCAACATCAACTCCAATTTCATCTAGGACCTGTCAAGTAAATAAATAAATAAATAAACAAACTAACCAACATGTGTTATTCAATTAACAATAACAAAAAACATAAATCATCTTGATTCATAAAAAACATAAACCAATAGAAGAACAAGAAAAATTAAACAATGAACCTGGTTGGTTAGCCCTTCAGTTTCCTCTTCAGTCTGCTTAGCTGGGGACAATTGTTGTAAGCAAGCTTGTAATTTTGTTATTTGTTGCCTAAGATTGATTAGCTGACATGCTGAAATTTTAGTTGTTGCCTGCAGAATGCAAATACAAATAAAAATAAGAAGATAAATCTGAATATAAAAACAAGAAAGAGAAATACGTTCCAGAATGTACCTCATTTCCTGTTTTAGCAGTTCTCTTTATCTCCGTAACAAGTTTCTTTTCCTATATCAAAAAACAATTTATATCCGACATTATAATTGAATAAAAAACATAAGCATTACCTATAAACTCTTTAACATACTTTCAATTGCAAGGTAGTGATTTCCCTCTCAATTGCATTGGCCATTTCAAAGAACAGAGATCCATATGCAAGTCCACAACGATGTCTCCTACGCTCGTAACTATTAGAACCGACATTGTAATTGAATAAAAAACAACCACCACAGTAAGTAAACATTTATTATAAAAAGAAAGAAAATTTTTATGAAATTCTACACTTGATAATAGAACAACACATAAACATATATAAATTTATCACAAATTCAGCAATTAAGCATGAGACATTTTAACAATATTTAAACTTTTCTTATTTGCAAATAATAGAAACCTAAGAAACAAGGAGTATAGTTCAACCCTCTTCCTCAACAATCACAAATGAAGTTCAACCATCTTCATCAACATCAATTGTTGAACAACACATATCGGTGACACTGTTGTAATTCATTATCATTAAGATAAAATGTTGTACTTTCACCTACAGCTTGACCCATGTTGTTATCACCTTCATTATTTCTCCTCGGTCGATTAGATTTGGTTTCCACATCAAGGAGATAGCGAGAACAAAAGTTCATGCATTCTTCCATCAAATACCCCTTAGCTATTGAGCCCTACGGATGAGCTCGATTACGTACATATTGTTTCAATGTAAGAAAAAACCTTTCAATTGGGTACATCCATCGAAACTGTATTGCTCCAGCGATCAAAGCTTCATCAGCAAGATGTATAGGCAAGTGTTCCATTATGTCAAAGAAAGATGGTGGAAAATTTTTTTCAAGATGACAAAGAGTTATTGCTATACGATCCTGAATATATTCCAAATCACTTGTACGATTCACTTTGGAGCACAATTGTCTAAAAAAAGTGCTCAACTCAATCAATGGTTCAATCACATTCTTAGGCAAGGACCTCCGTATAGCTAAAGGAATAAGTTGTTGCATCAAAATATGACTATCATGGCTCTTAAGACCCCAAATCCTTCTATCTTGTAAGCGCACATGTCGCGAGATATTGGATGCATAACCGTCTGGTACTCATACTTCCTTGAGTATTTTGAGAAACATATCTTTCTCATCGTTCTGAATTGTGAATTGTGCTGGAGGTACATAAACTTTATTGAACCCTCTTGACTGCAAGTGCAATGGTTTTCTGATATTCATTTCTTGCAAATCGCGTCGCGCATTCACATTATCTTTGGATTTTCCTCCAACTCCTAGTATTGTCCACAATATATTATCGCAGACATTTTTCTCTATGTGCATCACATCGAGATTGTGTCTTATTAAGTTATGCTCCCAATACGGAAATTCATAGAATATACTTTTTTTCTTCTAATTATGGCTTTTTCTTCCGTTATTTTCCCTCTCTTCTTGTCTCCTGAACATTTCCTTCAGGTCATTCCTCTTGTACTGACTAAGGACACCTTCTGATTCCAACTGATGCAACGTCTCAGATCCAGATAAAATTTGAGGTTTTAGTCTCCATTCTCGACTACCATCAAATGATACTTTATCCTTTCGAAATTTATGATTAACTGGTAAGAAACGACGATGACTCATGTATGAATACTTCCTACCATGCTTCAACCAATATGATTGAGTTTTCACATTGCAGCAAGGACAAGCATATTCACCTTTCGTACTCCATCCTGATAAGTTGGAATTGCCACCACATTGGGATCATTCCGGTTGTGTGCCCTCTTCCAAAGATTCATCTTATCTATCCTCTCTCCTTTATGTGTCATTTGAAAAAAATTTCAGGTTAGGAGCTCAAGTCTTCACAACATAATAAGTCAAAAGTGCAGCACTAGGTGCAGCCACAACTGTAGCCACAACTGTCACACCAAGTGCACTAGGTGCGGCTGTGGCTGCGGCTGCAGCTGCAGCAGCAATTGTAGTCACAGATGATGCCTTAGGTGCAACCACAAGATCAATACATTGAAACGAATATCTGAGAAAGATGTCCTTCCGGTCGTATGTGGAGGCCCACGAAATCCCCGATTAGAAGAATTCTTCTTAGCAATCGCCTATAACATTGGTTAGAATATCAAACATTAGTTATTTATCATTAAAACATTAATTAAAATTTTATAAAGAATACATATACCTGCACTTCTTTACTCGAC